TAAAGAATGTGCATTTATTGCTCCTGGCAATGGTTGGCTTAATCGTCGGCAGAGACGAAACGTTGTGAATTATACTGGAAGGGTCTCTTTTTTTCTTTTCTTAATCCTGTTAACGCTCGTCTTTGGCATGAAGAGAGGGTTGTTTTATAAGCACTGTGTAGTAACCAAAGGACAGTGCATCACCGTCTCGGGTTATATGCTAACGCTATTGTGCTGCCCTGGTTTGGCCGGAGAGTTTCAGGAAGGCTGTCCCTGGTGTCCCGAATGATTTGTGAAGTTTGGGATTATTTTTTTTCGTCCCCTGGGGTGAACATTTTCTGGCCTCCGTGCTCAACTGTCGATTGGCAAAGGATGGGGGGAGGGCAGAGCTAGCTACCCAAGTGGTCGACTGGTGGCAGGGCCAACATCAGAGAGTCAGTCGTGGGGTAGGGGTCACCTTGCTTGGTGTTGGCAGGGCTCGTGATTGACTGGGTGGGGCAATTGAAAAGTGGGTGTGACTTAAGGAGGGGTGGGTGTGACTTAAGGAGGGGTGGGCACGCCTAAGATGTTGGTAGCTTTAGTGTAATACGCATGCTGGTGCAACAGATAGCGAATAATCCGACCGATTTGTCTTTCTTGGGCTGGCTTACTGGTGCTTTTTTCGAACCCAGGTCTTAAAAGGCATATTTTTTACAAAAATGAACCTTGCCAATAAGTACATGCAGCGTCGTAACTGAGCGCTCTCGCCACTGACCGACAGTCCACATGTTGACCGCTCGCCCAAGTGCACAGCGCTGCTGTGCTTTTGTCGGCTGAATGCACAATATAGGTGGCGACAAGGGCATATTCTCGGCTGCTCACTGTGGAACACAACATTCCTACGAATATTGTTGCAGCTGTCAAGAAAAATCTGCATTATTTCCAGTTTGTTTGCTTTTCCCGAATCTCGCGTTTGTACACCGTTGTTGTGCGACCGCTAATGTCCCCGTCACTGATTTTCACTTGTTCTTTTTAAGATGTTTACAAATAATTGTCCCGAGTTCTGTGTGTGTGTGTACATATGTGCATTTACTACTGATTTGTTTATTGGATGCAGACACAATTATAATAACTACGTGAATAAAGAAAACGTTGTATACACTGGAGCCTCGGAATAAAACCTGAGCTTGTCTGAGCATTGTCAATTTTGTAAAATAAAAATACTCTTTCTGTATTGAACAGGCCAACAACTGTACATGTAATATTCTTTATACACAATGGCCCGTTATAAACCACTTTTTTTTTTTGGAAAAAATATATCAATTTAACAAACTGAATGTCCATTGTTTTTTTTATATATAGAAAACGGTGATATGGAACTTGCTGATGGGTGGTGGTGGTGACAGAGGGTAGATTACACTTTTGATAAACAAAGGCAAGCCATTTAATGATTGCCGTACTGCGTGATTGAATGCTCACAAAACACCGATCAACCGAGTTGAGCTATCGACAGCTGTGAGCTATGAACATGGTTTGTAGGGCAGTGCGCTAACCACTGCTCCACACAAATATCCTGTGCAGAGCCATAGACTTGGTGCAAGTGCTGTTGGTGAGCACCGATGCAGGCCGGGATGGTACACAAGGGGGTGACGTGGCTAACACCACGCCCGACCGCCTTTGTCTCCCGAGTGCTGATGTTCATTTGTCGCGATCGCGAATTTAACTCTGGTAGCGAGATATGCAGTGAAACGAATATACCGCTCCCCACAACTTCGTACAAGCATTCGTGCAACAGCAATAGATTTACTTTTTTCTATAAATACAAAGCCAGAGGTGGTGTGTCGGGGAAGAACCACTAAGATGATGGGAGGTGAGGCTAGGGGTGAAGTGGTATTCCGCATGCTGTTGTAGCAGAGGTACTGTTGAGTTGTAGATGGGGTTGGTGGAAAATGAACAAGTGGCTGAGAACCCAGCAGTGTGTGATGGGAATAAACCCATCACACACTGCTGCTTGCGGCAGGTCACCGATGGACGTGATTGCAGAAAACTCAACATTCATCATCAACACTGGTCTTATGAGGACAAATACATCAGAGGAGACGTTTCGGGCAATGGCTAATCATAGCACAATGGCCTTGGGGTCAATGTGCTGCGAAGATGGGACGTTCATTACTCGAAAACGTTGCCTATATTTTTTTTGAAGGCAGTGTTATTAACTTATTTCGCACCGTGCGGAGCCAACCATGTGTTTGGGCGTTATTCCCCAATTATTTTCACTTCGTTCGATTGTCGTCGAGTAATTGAACCGATAATCTGTAATTTATTCCTTTTATATTGACGGGTGGGGAGATAAACAAACAAATGATTTGAAATTTCATATCTCGGTACATTTTTTTGTATGCATCCAAAAATCTAGAATGCTTCCCCGCAATACACAGAGAGATCGGGTACCTGAAGCAAGAGCCGGGCTCATACTCTTTGGTTTTTTCGGTAAAGTCACGTAGGTAAAAATAAAATAAATGAAAACTAAATTAAATCACGTTTCAGATGCAACACAAGCTTCCGTCTTCAGGTGGAACCATTACAGCCAAAGTCACTATAGTAAGTTCACTTACTACACCTGAAGACGGAAGCTTGTGTTGCCTCTGAAACGTGATTAAATTTATTTTAATTTTATTTTTTACCTACGTGACTTTACCGAAAAAAACCAAAGAGTCAATAATGAAGGTCGATCATTTTACCGTGCGAAGTCGTTCAAAGGTGGTATGGGAAGGGAGCAGTTCAGGACCGGAGCCGTACATCACTCGCCACTGACAATGCTCGTGGGTCACCTCGCTCTCGCTATTTTCTGAATTTTTGAGCGTATACGTTATATTCTTGGTTCTTTCGATAAAGTCACGTAGAAGGGAAATAATAAAAATCAAACAATAAAATTCTCACGACGTTTTCGGCCACAACAATGAACGCTGTCTTTCCGACAGCTATGTTTTTTCACCTGCGGACGGCTGCTTGTGTTGTGGCCGAAACGTCGTGACAATTTTATTATTTTATATCTTTATTCTTTTATTATTTCCCTTCTACGTGACTTTACCGAAAGAACCAATAATATCAATCCCTGCAGTCACGAAAGCTTTAAATCGAAACGTATACGTTATATATACTCACACACACACACACGTATGGATTTATTTGAAATGCTAACAGGTCCCTGCGGGGTGGGCTGGTAGGAACGAATAACCAAAGAATATAAACATAATGTATTATTACACTTGTTTAGCCAGGAAAGCCTCACTGAGTCTAAAGGTTTTTATAGGGTCCTGCCAAGTGTTTTCAGTAGGGGGCGATGTTGCTACACCTAATCGGATATCGGACGGACGGACGATATAATCTATTGTAGGCTAAGGTTTTTTCGGTAAAGTCACGTAGGTAAAACATCAAAATTAATAAAAAATAAAATAAAGATCACGACGTTTCGGAGGCAACACAAGTCTCCGTCATCAGGTGGGACCGTCACAGCCAGATTAGCTGCATCAAGTGAGGCAATGATTCAAGATGTAATCCCTTAAAAGCGAGTTGAATCATTGCCTCACTTGATGCAGCTAATCTGGCTGTGACGGTCCCACCTGATGACGGAGACTTGTGTTGCCTCCGAAACGTCGTGATCTTTATTTTATTTTTATTAATTTTGATGTTTTACCTACGTGACTTTACCGAAAAAACCTAAGAATATGAATCCTTGCAGTCACGAAAGCTTCAAATCTAGAATCTATTGTAGGCTGGTTCACTTCGTTCCTACCGGTATAATTGCTGTGACTTATAAGAGCGGTGTTGGCTTTGTGCGGAATCGCGTGGTGGCGAAGCAGGGGGATCAATGCAGTGGCTGTCCACCCAAGTCTCAATTCCAATCCCTCCAAATCTGTGATCGCGCCGTTCATCTTCTTGGTTCTTTCGGTAAAGTCACGTCGAAGGGAAGTAATAAAATAACACCGGTGGTCACCATCCACCGATTGGCACGGCTGGCTTACGTACGGTGCGAAAGAAGCTCAACGTTGGAACCTCCTTTGCCAGTAGCAAAATATGATAATTGGGTTTTTACCCTTTTATCTGGCAACAAAACTGACACTTTTTTTTTACAAGGAGTCATGTTTGCATTTACCACAATACCTGCGGTCAGAATGCAAGCAAAAAACACAACTCTGATACAATGTCAAAAATTGACGTATCGAAGCCAATAATTGGTGTTACCGATGTGATTAATGTTTTTTTTCCCATCATCAACTCGATCATCAGGCGTCATAATTACAGCCAGCACCATCAACTAGCACCATCAGGCGTCAATTACAGCCAGCACCATCAACTAGCACCATCAGGCGACATAATTACAACGAGCACCATCAGGCGGCAGCCAGATTTAATCTTTAACCCATCCAACACGCAACAACAACCCCCCTTAGCAAACATGGCCGCCAGGTAGTCTGTGCGAGTGACGTCACCCCCCCCCCCCACCACGTGCCCCCTCCCCACCCGTTCCCGTCAGCTGTTCGCGAGAGGCCGCGCCTCCCCCAACATGGCCGCCAGGTAGTCTGTGCGAGTGACGTCACCCCCCCCCCCACCACGTGCCCCGCCCCCACCCGTTCCCGTCAGCTGTTCGCGAGAGGCCGCGCCTCCCCCAACATGGCCGCCAGGTAGTCTGTGCGAGTGACGTCACCCCCCCCCCCACCACGTGCCCCGCCCCCACCCGTTCCCGTCAGCTGTTCGCGAGAGGCAGCGCCTCCCCCAACATGGCCGCCAGGTAGTCTGTGCGAGTGACGTCACCCCCCCCCACCACGTGCCCCCCCCCACCCGTCAGCTGTTCGCGAGAGGCCGCGCCTCCCCCAACATGGCCGCCAGGTAGTCTGTGCGAGTGACGTCACCCCCCCCACCACGTGCCCCGCCCCCACCCGTTCCCGTCAGCTGTTCGCGAGAGGCGCGGCTCTCCCAACATGGCCGCCAGGTAGTCTGTGCGAGTGACGTCACCCCCCCCCACCACGTGCGTAGCCCCCCCCCGTCAGCTGTTCGCGAGTGGCGCGCCTCCATGCCGCCATGGCCGCCACGCGCTACCGCCTCTTCCTGCGCCTCTGCGAGGAGTGGCGCCTCGAGCCGAGCAAGCGCGGCCGCGACCTCGGCGAGCACCTGAGGGCGAGGGTCGCCGCGGCCTTCCGAGAGGGCGAACACACGCAGGTGGTGGTAGTGGTGGTGGTGGTTGTTGTGTAACTGCGTGGTGGTGGTTGTTGTTGTGTAACTGCGTGGTGGTGGTTGTTGTTGTTGTGTGACCGCGTGGTGGTGGTGGTTGTTGTGGTGTAACCGCGTGGTGGTTGTTGTTGTGTGACCGCGTGGAGGTGGTTGTTGTTGTGTAACTGCGTGGTGGTGGTGGTTGTTGTGGTGTAACCGCGTGGTGGTGGTTGTTGTGTAAATGCGTGGAGGCGGTGGTGGTGGTTGTTGTTGTGTGACCGCGTGGTGGTGGTGGTGGTGGTTGTTGTTGTGGTGTAACCGCGTGGTGGTGGTTGTTGTTGTTGTGTAACCGCGTGGTGGTTGTTGTTGTTGTGTGACCGCGTGGTGCTGGTGGTTGTTGTTGTGTGACCGCGTGGTGGTGGTTGTTGTTGTGTAAACGCGTGGAGACGATGGCGTTTTCGCGGTGAGCGCGCGGCACGAATCTCGGCGTGCCCCGAGTTCGATTCCCGACAAGCCGAACCGTGGTCCTGGGCCACCCCTAGGTCGACTCGGCCTCGAAGCGTGCACACACACGAAGGCCGTGCCGACCTTCAAAGGCGCCTCGCTAACAAGCACTCGTCTCAAGTGCTGCGCGTTATGCAGGAGGGGTGGGACAACATCACTCGGATCGTGGCTGGTAGTAGGCCTCGGCAAGGTAAGGTAATTGTACCCTTTTACCGGGTAAAAGGGTACAGGTAAAAGGTGTCGACATTCCAAGGGTAAAGGGTAGGGTAAAAGATAGGCTCGTTGCTTTTTACCTTACCTGCTAAAAGGGTAAAAGGTAGGGTAGAGTGATTGTATTGTGGTAAGGTACAAGGTAGGAATACAATCACTACCCTCCCTACCTTTTACCCTTCAGCAGGTAAGGTAAACGGTAAAAAAATTAACCCGTAAAAACAAAGTTTTTCACTATAAATCCTTTATATGCGTGGCGGCTAGAGTCCTCTCGTCCTCTGGCTTGAGATGGCCGCCGCCTATGGGTCAGATGATTGCCTGCCATCCATTAAGCAATTGGTAATTAAATATAAATAAAAAATTCCCTAAAAAGTGTAAAGTTATGGATTTTTTTTGTTCACGAAAATAAATTGTCACGCACAACGAGTCTGTGTGCAAAATGTCAGCTCGATTGGATCACGGGAAGTGGGTTAAAAAACGACCGAAAGATTTGCACGGTCGTAAGCGCGCAAGCAAGCAAGCGAACTTAATATAAAGGATTTAAAAAGCAACGCGCCTACCTTTACCCTACCTTTTACCCTACCCTTTACCCTTACCCCCTTGGCATGTCGACACCTTTAACCTGTACCCTTTTACCCGGTAAAAAGGGTACAATTAATTACCTTGCCGAGGCCGAGCTGGTAGGGTACAGAGCTTGGAAGAAGATTGAGTGGGGTTGAGCCTGGCTCATGCTCGGTTCGGGTGATGACGGCGCTATAAGCCACGTGGCTTGTTTGTTCTATGAAGTGCCGGGAATGGAACACGTGCTGTAGACCTGACGTGCAGCGTGGAGATGGAGCGAATAAATCACTGCCAGTGCGAAGACGTGAGGTGTTTTCGCTTAGCCCCGCACACTTGACTAGATTGCCTCGCGATGTTGATGCTTTTGTGGGGTTTCTCTTTTTTTAACAGATCGCCGACCCTGAAAAATGCGACCAGATGTACGAGAGTCTGGTGCGAATGAACACGAACTACTTCCAGAAGAAGGTGCCACAGACACCGCGACGCCACCGGGGGGCGCTGCAGTACAGCAACATCGGGTTACGCGTCGCCTGAACTTGACAATTCATAATGACAAATCTCTGGCTCCACTGCATCGGCATTGCCGCTGCATTGGCATTGCTGCTGCATTGGCATTGCCGCTGCATTGACACTGCCGCTGCATTGCCATTGCCGCTGCATTGGCATTGCCGCTGCATTGCCAATGCCGCTGCATTGGCATTGCCGCTGCATTGGCATTGCCGCTGCATTGGCATTGCCGCTGCATTGCCATTGCCGCTGCATTGCCATTGCCGCTGCATTGGCACTGCTGCTGCATCGGCATTGCCGCTGCATTGGCATTGCTGCTGCATTGGCATTGCCACTGCATTGGCATTGTTACTACATTGGCATTGCTGCTGCATTAGTAATGATGCTGCATTGGCATTGCTGCTGCATTGGCATTGTTGATACATTGGCATTGCTGCTGCATTAGTAATGCTGCTGCATTGGCATTGCCATTGCTGCATTGGCATTGCCATTGCTGCTGCATTGGCACTCGTGCACCGCCCATGCTGCTGGTGCTGTTGATACACTTGGGGGGCTACGCCCATCCACAAACCTTTATGAACAGTTTGCCTTTAAAGGCTGACTCCTTTGCCTGATGACGACTGCTTGTGTTGCGATCGAAACGTCGAGATTTGTTTAAAAAAAAATTGTATAACTACGTGGCTTTACCGAAAGAACCAAAGAGTATGGATTCCTGCAGTCACGAAAGCTTCAAATCAAGAATGACAAATCACCCGCAATACACCCAAATGCATGGCTCTCAACAACATTACGGTTCACCCCGTATTCTTGTGCAGGGAAATTGAGTTTTCAGGGCCATACGGTGTACAGCCGTTTCAATACAGTCAAAAAAAAAAATCTCTTTTTGTCTTTGTGTGTGTTTATCAGCTTATTTAAATAAATTTACCGATTGTTTAATTACTCCGTAATTCTTTCACCGACAGAATTGACAGTGTGCTTAGTTTTGTATTTGTATACGGGCACGACTTCACGACTAATCGCTCTTTGTTTTGTTTACAACCTCTGCAGTACCCTCGCCGACAAAACACCAGTTTCACCGGGATGACAGCCGAAGACTGCCGCCTCATCCTGTCCACAGGTAATGCAGTACCTCGTAACACACGGTACCTCGTAACACACGGTACCTCTTCTTGGTTCTTTCGGTAAAGTCACGTAGAATGGAAATAATAAAATAATAAAAGAAAACCTAATACAATATTTTATTATTTCCATTCTACGTGACTTTACCGAAAGAACCAAGAAGAGGTACCGTGTGTTACGAAAGCTTTAGATCGAAATACACGGTACCTTGTAACACACGGTACCTTGTAACACACGGTACCTCGTAACACATGGACAGTGCAGACAGCAGTCTGCTAATCCAGCAGCTCAGGGTGCAGGGCTTTGTCATTTAATAGAATGCACTATGAATACAATCGCATCTCAAGAATGCTGTAAATAAATGGCGAGACGTGGGCATCCCGGGTAAACGAGACGCACCTGTTATATATATATATTTTTGATTCTCCCACGTCTGTACTCCCCGCGCCGACCAGCGTCGTGAAGTTTTGATCCGTAACCCCCACCACCATCTGCGTTGGCGGAGGCCCTCACCCATCGGCGGAGAGGTTCTCCGAGATCTTCCACGGTGGGAGCATTAACCACACGCGTGCGTTTTCCTTGCAGATAACCTGGAGGCGATGGAGGACAACAATAAAAGTGTTTTCAAGAAGTTTTTTGAGAAGTTTGCAAATAAAAATGCGGACGAGCAGGGCAAGCTGCAGCCTTAGGGTTTGTCGAGTTATTCATGTGGAACCAAGACACTCCAGTGGTGGCAGAGCGTGTGGCGGTGAGCATCTCCATGTATTTGGCTGTATGGTCACCTCGTGGTTAGCACGCTTGGCTACGTACCTGGCGACCTTGGATTAATGATCACCGCCAACGTAGGCGAATGTGTGAACCGGTCCTGGGTCTCCCCTTGGTCAACTCAGACTTAAATGAGTGTGCTTGGTGCCGTGCGTAAACATCAGCACCGGGGAGACAAAAGCGGTCAGGTGTGACCATGGCCACACCGCTCCCCCCCCCCCCCCCCCCCATGGGTACTGGCTAATGGAACTTGCCCCAATAGCCTGTGTGGGCTACATAGGAGATCTGCGTGTAACATATGTGATAAAATAAATGTTGTAATCCAGTGCTGGGATGAAATAAAATTTATTTCACTACTTACTGTCTTTGCCTTTTTGAAGTGGTTGTGTGTGTGGGGGGGTGTGTGTGTGTGTATCTTGAGTCTCTTCCCCTTCTACTCCAAGGCGCAAGTTATGGGTACATTATAAATGCAAGCCGTTGGAATAGCTTAAGTCGCGAGTTGCTTTAAGTGGCAGACTTCAAAAAAATGTAAACGATACAAAAAGAGATGACCTAATACCTCTTCCAAATGTATTAATGGGATCTTTGAGAAACATTGAAGGGTGGATAATTATTTTCGTCAAGACTTATTTGAAATGTGACCATCGTGGGATTGGATTGGTTGTGTAAGCGTGGTGAAAGCCAACTATTCAACTGACCTTTTCACGGTACAAGCGTGTATTTCGGTGTTAAGAGCCAGGCTGTGGTTTGTATGGCCCACAAGATGTGGGGGGGGGGGGGGGGGGGGGCACGATGCTGGCACCGTGATGCTGAATCCTGGCCACGCTGGTGCTCAGCTTGATCTGTAGCTCCCAATCTTGAGGCCGGTTTGTTGTAATCACCGGCGAAATGTCACACGGTACTCGGAATTGTAAATTTCGTGGGTTTACTCTCCAACACACCGGTGTGCTGAACTAGTAACGAAGTGGCACGTGCGTTGTTTACGTGACAAACCTTACTAAATTGCCTGTGTCGGGTAGTGGTGGGTTTAACGGCACATTTAGATTTGTGCGATATAACCCAAAAAACCTCGTGGATAATACTCGTCGCAAAAGCCTTGCGTGTTCAACTCGCAAATCCTGGTTGGCTACAGAAAACCAGCAAGAATGTACACGGTGGTCCACATGTGTTGTGACCCCCAACATATTTGTTCATTTGTATATTAATTTCTGTTTTAAATAATTCTTTAAAAAAAACAATTAAATGCGGGTGGTTACAAAGACATCTTGACCACCCTGTTTGAAAATGTTTCCAAAGTCAGGATAATTATTTACGTGCAAAATATAAGCAACAAAAACTTAAACAATTACCCTTTAAAATGACTACTTTCCATACACATTGAATATATATATCTTGCACTTATTTCGAGGTAAATTATTAGCCACCGAGTAAATGTAGATTTTTACAGTTTGAAAGGGTTGGTATTACCCAGCCAATCAACACCGGGTGTCATACTGTCCAGTGCATATTTGCATCTTGCAATTTTCACTCACTGCAGAACTAACATTACATAAGTACCGTGTGCTGTGTGTGTGTACTCTAAACCTCGTGCCAAAAAACTCGACCCGTCCCAGCGTGGGTTTTGTCCAACCCGGCACACGAGCAGCTTCACAAACGGCCATCTGCTTCACACTCGCATCGTGCCCTGACTTAATATCGCCAGCATCCTGCTGGTAGATGTTGCCTTGCCAGCCCTTGGCCCGAATTAAACACATTCCTGCGGAGGGAGCTGGTAGGAACGTTGGGTTGCTCGGTCAATGGCCAGGGTCAACGGCGGCGTGGTGTATTCCGCAAATATGGCCGACTGTGAGGGCGGGCACAAGCCGGCGTGAGTAGGTTAAACGTTGAGTTTTATAAGGGCACCACGGGGTGAGAAGCCCCTCACCACCCAGCCCTACCCCTCCCAGCCCACCCAGCCCCACCCTCCCCACCCAGCCCAACCCCTCCCCACCCAGCCCCACCCCACCCACCCCTCCCAGCCCCTCCCCACCCTCCCCTCCCAGCCCCTCCCCACCCTCCCCTCCCCACCCAGCCCCTCCCCACCCTCCCCTCCCCACCCAGCCCCTCCCTTCACGACGGACGGATACAATAATACCGTGGGCTGATGTAACCAGGAGGTTCCTAACAGTATTAAATCAGTCGATTGATGCTACCAACCCATGCACTCTCAATTTCAGCGATACCAATGGTAAGGCTTCCTTCCCCGTGTATAGCTTGGGTAAAAATCAAACAAGTCGAATCAATTGGATCTCCCACACAAGGCTAATTTAATTGAAAAATAAACTGGAAAAGCATGGTCAAGTGCTTCCACTCAGAAACCGATCGAACCATCTCTCATCACGAGACGCACATGGTCACTCATACGATGGTGGTTATTGCGTGTTGCGAAAAGTTACCCCAATGCTTTTTCGTTTTGAAGGCGACGCAAAGCAAAATCTGAGTTTTGTATTGAATAATTGAACAAAAAATAATGGTGATTTGTATGTCTGAACGCAAAAAATTACTGCCTGTCAGTTTTCGGTTAAGAGCAAGGTAAAGGAGACTGGAGACATGTAGTAATGTTTGAACATCAATCATGGTGGTTCGTTTCTATATATATTGTTGTCTGCTAAAAACGTGAACCCAAATGATGTCTATTGCAAAACCTTTCATATATAACGGGGGGCAGCACAGAGGCAGTATTGTGCACATTGTAAAATGCACCCACTGACCCGAGCTGGTGTTCGCATCAGTGGTGAGTGATCTCTGTATTGCTCACGGCTCCACCAAAACTACGCGATTAAGGTCAAACAGCCTCGTGACTGACAAGTGTGGCAAAAGCCTTTATCGCAGCGATGAATTGACACAGGGCTATCCACGATTGAAAATAATACACGGGGCGATTTTCTCAAACGTTGCGTGCAATTTGCGTATTTTTTGCAAAAACAAGAAAAACACGTTAATTGTTTAGTATAAGCAACGTTGAATAGGAGTAGGGCGATACCTCCGTGATGTTGAGTAGGTACATTTTTTTGCATGTGAAAGGAGGCATACAACAACAAAAAACATGCAACTCATAAGCAACAGCGAGCCGAAAAATCATTGACAAAAATGGCCGAGCGCTTAGAAACTCTTGACTTTTATTTAATGGTTGCGTTATAGAAGTCACGTTGTCGTCCGCGCGTCGCTCTGTGATTTTGTACAGCGCGTTGTCAATACACCTTCCACTTAATGTCGTCGACTGGCTTGAGAGGGTTAACGATGATTAGCATAAACCTACGGTCTCTTTGAGATAACATTGCGGAGGAACATTTCCTAACGCGGACTCGGGAGAGCCCCAAACTAAGGCACCATAACGAGACGGAACGACTGACAACGGCACGTGGCAGCTCAAAAAAGCCAGGCACGTGGGGCACAGGAGATGTCCGTTACAATACACATTACCACGCACAGGCAAAGTACCAGCTATTCATATACATATATACACACACACGCGCGCGCGCGCACAATGTATTATCATAATTGTTACCATTATTATCATTGTCATCATCATCACCACAGCACGTCACTTTGCAAAGTCAAAGTGCAACGCTAGACACGAAATTAAATCTAAAGGTGCGTTCAGAATTGTGCAATTTGAGTACAAAGTCAAAATGAGTCGTCATCAGTGACTCCTCCCGTGTTAAAACGGGCCTGGGGAGGTACCCATCATCATCGGCATCATCGTCGTAGTCATCATCATCAGTCATCATTGGAAATGCTTAGGCAGTGGTGAGATTTGCCACAGATCTATGGCATTGAGCAGTTTGCTCTTAATCAGAGAAACCGCTCCCCCACCAATAAGTGCAGACTCACCAAGGTGCTACTCTTTTTATCCACCCTGGAGGGATCATGATGACTAATTATGGTGATAATGGCGACAGAAGTTGACATGGCCACAATTCGAATTCGCCGTCCCAAAAATTGGCCGCCCTAAAGGTCCACGATGCGCTTAGGCTGGGGGGGGGGGGGGGACTTTATTTCTAGGACAATTGTAGCCGGCCAATTGCCATGGCAACACGTTGACCGCGATAAAAGATGACAACCACGACGCGTCCTGCCTGGCCATTCAGCACCAGCCTCGTGGGAAAGCGACGCTCATGTTGCCACCGCCTGCGATCCGATTGGAAGTTGCCACTCTCCTCCCCGCAGTTGCAATCACAGTTGCCCAACTGTGGGTAGCATCGACCAAATTTGTCCAGATTTTGGCAACTAATATATATTTGATATATTTGGGCAATTAAAATATATACCTTTTTTAAATGTGCCCAAATTTGGCCAACTAAATTGTACGTTTTCTTTTTTTCCGCAACAGAAAAACCTTTCGGTAAATGTTGGCGGTCAAAATCGGCCAAAATCGGAACCAAATTGCAAATTCACCCCGGCCATTTCATCAACGCAGGCGTTTTACAAAACAACAGCATCAGCAGCAGCATATGCGTATTTATATGCCGACGTAATCCTCGACTCGTGCTATGGAAATCAGTGATCACTTGCCCGGACCAGCCTTGGCTACTACACAGCAACGAGACACACAGACACACACAGCGTCTATGCACACACACACGCGCGCTCAGCATCTAATCACACACACACACAATAATGCCCATCGCTCCAAGTACTATGCAATGTCATTTGCGACGACAATGCGCGCCTACACAAAATATATTACGTATTGCCGCACGGACAATGCCGTGTACGGGTTGAGTTATAATATACGACGACCAATGTGTTTTATGGTGCAAATGTAAAAGTCCATTTGAAGGGAAATTTAAACCACGATCATTGATCGATGCTATTTGTCAGCAAAGGCATGGGCAGCAAAAGCCTCTATGCCGAACCGTTTACTCACTCTTGACACATTTAAGTTGTTTATCCTATATATATCACAGGTGCTGTATATTTATATATTTTTGTTGTTTATTGAAGTGTCTATGACTCCCTCCGACTTGTTCAATGTCTTCCCCAAATGATGTTTTTAAATTGTTCCTGATCGCGTGAGGTCAACGTTCTGAGAGACGGCCATCGCTGGATTAAAATCACAGTCGCCAATTTCTCGTTCTTCAATTAAGTTGGCACTGAATTAAAGCGTTGGCGTGGCCGCATCGTAGCGGAGTGCGTTGGCAAGATGCAGACGGCCACTCGATGGATTTTTCGTTGTTGTCGAGAGGAGTTCAGCGGGACATCTCGCAGAGCCGTTCTCTCGCGCACGGAGCGCACCGCCACTAGAGGTTTCCGAATGGACTCTTGTAATAATAATAAAAAAGGGCTAAATAAAAAATAAATAATCCTCATATATGCAATGTGCGCAAAGATGTAAAGATTGCGAAGCGACCGATGCTGTTTTTCTGCCAACGCACCGTCGTGCGAGATTTGTTTCCACGATGCCACGCGTCTCACGCTCCGTCTGATGTCAGGGGAGCGGGTGTGTGTGTGCGCCTGTGCACGCGTGCGTGACTCTTGTGTGTGCCTGTGCACGCGTGCGTGACTGTGCACGCATTTGGGCGCGTGTTTTTGGGGTGGGGAGGCCGAACTCGGTATTCAGGGACGTGTGCTTGATGCAGGAGAGTTGCGTTGGCGTTTCTCAGAACTGGACTTGAAGGAAAAAAAACCCCAAACAGAAGACGCTTCTAACCCTTGAATATAACGAGTGCACGCGTAGGAAATTAGAATTCGCGTGGCAGGATAGGGGAAGCAACGTGGACATTCAGACGTAGCTATACTATTAAAATATTCATGGTAGAGTTGGTATTCGTGCCATTCTTATTGCACAACGCTATCACAAAGGCACGGTGTGGCACGGATGGATATTCTGTAGAGTGCCAGGAGAGGGCGATGTTGCTGCGTACATTTACCCAATTGAGTAATTTGCAGGCAACGTTTCCCTCGTGTGCTGTCGATGCCGTCGGGAAGAGGATGTTGCTGCACGTGGTGCAGGCTGAACAAGGGGCAGGTTACACCCAGACACGATGACATCTTGACCTTGACCCCAACGCGTATCCGTGGATGGGCGTGCGTGCGTGCTGATGTGTACGTGTGTATGTAGATCACTTCATCACTGGGAGGGAGTCATCATCATCGGAATGAACTTAGCGTTATCGCTTTGCACTGCGCACGCACACACACACACGATGTGCTGCAGTGGCTCTGCGTCGTGGATAATTCTCTACGTTGTCCCGTTTCTCGTAGCGTGGCGTCGCCTTTTGCGCGGGGTGGGGGGGGTGGGGGGCTGGCCGCAAAGTTCGTGCGAGGGTTTTTTGTTTTATCCCCTTCCCTCTTTCTTTACAAAATCGTTCACGAGAGGGGACCTCCGCCGACCGCGAGCCCGAGGCGCGTCTCTCGTGCGCGGGTCGCAGAGCGTCTCTCTCTCCCTCTCCTCTCGAGCGACCGTCGGCCGCTCAGTCGCCCCGGTGCGGGGAGACAGGCCGCGGCGCCGGCTGCTGCGGCCCGTACGCGAAGGGGAACGGCTGCGCGGGCCACGCGTAGTCGCGCAGGCCGCTCTTCTCCCGCAGCAGCTGCAGGTACGCCGCCGACGGGGGGAACAGGTAGAAGGGCAGGCACAGGGCCGGGTGGGGCGGCGGCGGCGGCGGCGGCGCGAGCTGCTGCTGCCCGCGCGAGACGGTGCCCGCGCGCGGCCGTTCCGTCGGCGGGCTCGACGGCCGGGGCCGCTTCGCGACGGTGCCGCCGCACGGGGCCTCGGGCGCGTCGCCCTCGCGCTTGACGCGCGGCAGCGGCGGCGGCGGGGGGGTCGTGCGCTCCGCCCCCCCGGACGGCTCCGCCGGGGAGGGCCCGGCGCCCTCGCCGCCGTAGCCGCTGTCCGTGTCCGTGTCGTCGCTGCCGCTCGCGTCGCCGGCGGTGGCGGCGGCGGCGCAAGCGCGTTGGATGACCGGCACGCAGTTGCGCCGGGGCGCCGACTCGTCATCGCCGCCGCTGCTGCTGCTGCCGCTGCCGCTGCTGCTGCTGCTGCTGGAGAAGTGTGACTGCTGCGCCCTCTGTTGCAGGTACTGGACCTTCGCCGGCATCAGCTGCTGCTGCTGGTGGTTGTTCTCGGCGGGCGGACTTGGATCGAGCTCAACGCGTCCGACCGCGCGCTGCAGGTGGCTAAGGAGCCGCGGTCCAGAGGCGCGCTCCGTGCGTCCCAGGTAGGACATGACCTCGCGGGCGCACGACTCGTAGCCAGCGCTGTACGACAGCGACGATGAGAGGGGAGTCGATGGCGGTGACGACGATGGCGGTGATGACGATGAGCCCATGGCAGCGTTCGCTTCGCCTGTGACAGAGACGCGCGGAGCAGAAACGTCATCTCACTCGCTCGCACAAAGTGAAGGCAATTTTACTTTTTTTTTTATTGTTCATGTGCGCGTGTGTTTGATACATGATCGCTGTACCCATCGATTACCTCCCTACCTATGTTTATTTGACCAGGTAAGGCTCACTGAGCGATAGAGCTCTTTGTCAGAAGTGACCTGGCCATAAATGACAGCACGACTGTATAGCAAGTTACCATATATGATCAATACCGACCGTTAATATGGTCACACAACAGGTCTGCGATTGAGTGTTGGCGCCATGAATCCAACAAACCTGAGTTTGATTCCCATCCCTGGCTAAGATCATTGGCAAGTGATATAATACCAACTGGTTCTGGCTCACCCTCCTTCACCGACCCCTACTGACGTGCATGGTGAAGTATGGTCAAAACATCCCCCCATGGCCAACGTGGCACGGGGGAGACATCATTCCAATCGTGGATTCAAAAAGTGGCTGTTAAGTTTTTGTACTTTCATTTAACCCAACTATAGGACACAAATTCAGCGGTTTCGTAGGAATAAAAGTTTGCGAAAATGGGCAGCGGCAAGCGTCAGAGTACGGAACGCCTAATGCGGAGCGGAATCGTGCTCTCGATATTGGTAGCGAAAGTTCTCAACGTAAAGTTATTAAAAAGGCATCGTCGTGTGCCTGCCATAAATCCGCTTGTATCTCTAGTTTAATGTGGTCGGACACCCGATACATGAGACGCTGATCATTACTAACACTGGTCAACAAAAAAAAAAATTCTGGCCTGGACTTTTGCAGCTGTTTTATACTAATTTAGGGTGCTGATTCCAAATCTGATCTCAGATTTGCTCTATCACATCTCATTGTTATGCTATCGGCATACCCCGTTTTCATTGATTTTACCCGAAATTAACTCTGTCACTTATGATTGCAAGTTGTTGCGAGCCAGTGACTGTTTTAGTGTTAAAATATGGTGCTGTATTTTTAGGATAGTGTGTTTATAATATTATTTTATGTAGATATCCACATTTATTTAATATTTTTCTTCTGCAGTTTTTATTGAAAATGCAATATTTGATATCTCAAAAACCTGATGGGATAGACAAAAACTGATGCCAGATTTGAAATCAGCACCCCAAAATTACCTTAAAACCGTCGGAATACCTTATGCCAGAAAAAGTGTGTTGACCAGTGTAATTCTAGCACCCGCCTCTCGCATTTCATGGGGTTAATGTTCCAGTCCCAGATTTACACACGTGTGTGAATGTCACTAAATAACGAACTTTCTTTATTTCACCAGGTAAGGCCGACTGAGCTATGTAGATCTTTATCAGAGCGACTTGGCCATCACGTGGACATTGATAGCAGCCAAATACTCGAAACGCGTGATGTTGATTCTAAATGTGGAGCGGAGAACAAATCCACGCGACCACGCGGAGAATATGCAAACTCCAAATATGCAGCAGGCGCCAGTGTAGGGATCGAACCCACGATCTCCTGCATACCAGGCGAGGGAGTTAACATCTCCTAGCCACCGTGGCGAATGTGAGATGAACCGTCGCGATTCTGGTTTGCGATTCGATTCAAGAATTATCTTCGTTTACGTTTTTAATTCTCGTCCTCATTTTTGAATCTGAATTGTGTTGTTAATAACAGTTTTTTTGTTACGTATTCATTCGCACAGTTTTGTATGCTACATTAGCAGAAATGTAACATTAGCGAGTTATATGAACATTATTTGCATAGGTCATACCTATCAATTCTTCCACAGGTTGTTAATTATATCACGAGCGTATAGAATCGGTTTTAATCAATGAATTGATTCATCGTTACATGTCTGGCAAACACCAATACAGGGCCGGATGGCAATCCCAATGGTTTATATGATAATACTAATATACCGTTCTTTCTTCTTGGTTCTTTCGGTACCACCTGAGGACGGCTGCTTGCGTTGTGGCCGAAACGTCGTGAGAATTATTTTAGTATGTTTTATTTTTATTATTTTATTATTTCCATTCTACGTGACTTTACCGAAATAACCAAGAAGATAAAATCCCTGCAGTCACGAAAGCTTTAAATCGAAATTTATACCGTTCTTTGTCAAACCACTACTGGATGAAAACCTATTCTTAGGTTTTTTCGGTAAAGTCACGTAGGTAAAACATTACAGCCACGACAGCTGTATCATTTACTTGATACAGCTGTCGTGGTTGTGACGGTTCCACCTGAAGACGGAAGCTTGTGTTGCCTCCGAAACGTCGTGATTTATATTTTATTTTACTTTTATTAATTTTAATGTTTTACCTACATGACTTTACTGAAAAAAACCTAAGAATATGAATCCTTGCAGTCACGAAAGCTTCAAATCTAGAATGGATGAAGACCTCCCCACAAGCGTGTTGACCACGGCGGATATTTGACCACACTTCAGCACGCTAGTCAGCGTGGATTGACAATAGTGGGGAGAGGAGGCCAGGCCCGGTTCAAATGTCACTTGCCACTGACATTAGCCCAAGCCGAGAATCAACCTCAGGTCGACGGTTTCATGGTGCAGTGCCACCAAAACCATTGTGCCACCGCTCCCTCCACCGTCTTTATAATGCGCCGCATGCCCAAGAACTGGCCGACGTACGTGACCATGTCGGTCGAACTTTAATCCAGAAACCGAAGTTGAAATATCAAAATGACTCAGTGGCAGCTACGTGCAAACCTCACTCGCACACCCCCCCCCCCTCTCCTCCACCCAAGTGCTCAAGAGTGCAAGTCACCGCGCTAGGGCTATTTGAATCTCAGCACAAGTGCCAGAAGCCACGTGTTGCAATCCTGTGAGCAAGCCTCATCAATGAAGTGTGCACATGAGCTACACAGAAATAATGAAAAGTCAAAGTGCCCTCGTGTTATAATTAGCGGGGTGGGTGGCCCTCAGCTCCGGCCGGTGGTCCTTAAGCCAGCGGTGGGAATTACACTTCCTTGAGATGAGCAGCCGTGCACGGAGAGCACGCACTACACGCATGCTCCAACACGATGTGCCGCTTTGTTTACCAGCCTGAGAGCACGGGGTGACGGCGGTGACGACGACGGTGATGACAGAGCTTACCCTGGATGGGATTTGAACTTATGTCCTTAATAGTGACTGCTGCTAGTGGGCTCTGTACGCTACCTTCTTGGCTTTGGTGTCACACTGCATGGGGAGAAAATTATTAAAATTGTACAATTTTATTTGGCATCACGCTTAAGGCAATGTTGAACTTTAGGCTGACGTTGCCCAATGAGTGGGTTGCTCAGTCAGGCACAATTCTCTATACGTGTTAAAAGCATATCTAAGCTGACACTCGTTCTGTGTCTTCACGTATTTTAAATCAATTGCCTCTTGGCTTCCCGTACCAATATTACGCAGCGGCATTTGTTAAAAGCAAGCAAACCAGGTCTGTCGGAAAGACAGCGTCTGAATGTCAGTCCGACAGACCTGTTCTTCACCTGAGGACGGCTGCTTGCGTTGTGGCCGAAACGTCGTGAGAATTATTTTATTATGTTTTATTTTAATTATTTTATTATTTCCCTTCTACGTGACTTTACCGAAAGAGCCAAGAAGATAAGCCACTTTGTTGAGTTATTATCCGTGGTCAGGTTGCTTCTGTAAAATAGCCATATAGCTAGATAGCTCAGTGGGCGTTACCTGGTAGTATAAAAAAATACCATAAGAGTTTACCTTCCATCACTTCCATCGCTCCCATCACCCATTCCATCCCTCTATCCCTAACCTTCTCTCTGCTCTCTCTCTCGCTCGCTCGCTCGCCCGCTCCCTCCCTCCCCTGCCTCAATTACAACGCCTCGTTTCCTCGGGAGGGCAATTAGTGGCCGCGTGTACTGTAGAAAGGCTGGCGTGAAATACGTGGATATTTATGTCTGTAATGTGTGGGCAGGCTCCACCCATCGGGACAGCTCCCCCCGTCTGCCCCCCCCCCCCAACGCGGTCGGCATGCTGCCGAGGGGGTCCCCCCCCCGTTCCTCTTGCACCCCCTCTCACCCCCACGTCATTCCTTACCCCCCACCTCTCCTCGTTGACCCCCCCCCCCCCCAATTCCTGACGTTCCCCGCAGGGCTGAATGCGACGAGTGTGCTGACCTTTCCCCTCTGATGTTTAGCTCCACCAACTCATCCACCTCTTTCTCAGAATCAGAATATTTATTTATACGCCGGAGGAATCCGACGAGATGTAAAGCTTTTCTTTCACAGCTGCGGAGCGCGCTGCGCTACCAGCCCCCGACACCCGAGTTCGATTCCCTGGCCACGGCTGACATCGCTGCGCAAGTGATATAATCCGCGAACCCAGCTAACTGGGCTCCAATCCGTCCCCTTCACAAACCCATACCGTCTTCTTGGTTCTTTCGGTAAAGTCACGTAGAATGGAAATAATAAAATAATAAAAATAAAACATTATAAAATAATTCTCACGACGTTTCGGCCACATCGCAAGCAGCCGTCCTCAGAAAGACAGCGTCTGAATGACGCTGTCTTTCTGACAGACCTGTTCTTCACCTGAGGACGGCTGCTTGCGTTGTGGCCGAAACGTCGTGAGAATTATTTGATTATGTTTTATTATTATTTTATTATTTCCATTCTACGTGACTTACCGAAAGAACCAAGAAGATGAATCCCTGCAGTCACGAAAGCTTTAAATCTAAATTTAAACCCATACCGAGCAGCGCTGGTGAAGTACGGCCAAACAACCCATCATGACTGACATGATGTGAAGGAGGCCTTCATCCAGCAGTGGATTAACAAAGGGATGTAAAGAAAGCATGATGATGCATGCGTTAGACCGACACAAAACCTAACGACAGCCTTGGCCGACGAGGAATTTCTATTTAGCGCCAGTTCTTAGGAAGGCCATCCCAACTCGTTTGAATAACACTCCGCAGCAGCAGCCACAGTTTGCATTTTAACGCATGTACTGCATGCGGAATTTCTTTCGCACCGTACGTAGCCAACCGTGGTAATCGGAGGTGCGGTGGAAGGACAACAAACTAAACACAAAGAGCAGTTACACCCTTGGAACCTCATTTGCCAGTAAAAAATATGATAATTGTTTTTTTTACCCTTCTATCTGGCAACAAAACTGACACCTGTTTTTACAAGGAGTCATGTTTGCATAGACCACAATACCTGCAGTCATAATGCAAACAAAAAACATAACTCAGATAATGTGCACTGTCCTGATAATGTGCACATTATCTGAGTTATGTTTTTTGTTTGCATTATGACTGCAGGTATTGTGGTCTATGCAAACATGACTCCTTGTAAAAAAGGTGTCAGTTTTGTTGCCAGATAGAAGGGTAAAAAAAACAATTATCACAAAGAGCAGTTCTAAAGAAATTCGTTTTCAATTGAGATTTGAAAGTGCATAGCTCCAGTGGCTTTTTCCTATCGGAAGGAAGAGCGTTCCAGACGGCCAGCTGCAGCTGCCCCCATGTCCAGCCGTGGCCTCTGACCTCTGTGAAGTCATCTCTCCGTTTGCTACGTACGGCGCGAAAGAAATCAACAGACACATACATGTTGAACTTCTTTCGCACCACCGTAGGGTGCTAAAACCCAAGTTGGTTGGTTCCTGGTCAAAACTATCTCCAGGCAAATGACTGGCACACAGAGGTGGGCCCCCTTCCAAAACCAAACAGCCACTTTCCAAGAATCGTTTTGGTAGTTTCCTTAAAGCCGCGATTGTGGACGTTGATAAGGGATGTTCAATACGGAATGATAAGAAAAGTAAATGTGATGTATTGGTGGTACACCAGTGTATATATATAAAAAAAGCGAATTTTTCGCAATAATTATTTATATTCCCGCAATTCGCAAACCTCGGTCGTGGGCTGCGTCAAATTGAGCTGTTGTGATGTCGGTTGACACTGACGATGGAGTGGCAGCCCAAGGAAGGACGTTCGCCTGACAGCATGGCCACCGCAGTTTGGTAGAAAGGATCAAACAACTCGTGCACTGCACCGCAATGCAGATTCTTAATTGCCATGAGTGGGACGAGGATGGGGGAGCAGGCGGGCGGGGGAGGGTGGTGAGTTTAGGGGGTTAGGGGGGGGGCACGTGAGACCAGTGGTCTTGATTGGGGCAAAGCGGCGGACGGGGGGGGGGGCGTACCAAGTGGGCCGAGAAGCACCGCATTAACACTTTCGAGCGCAGTTGGAGAAAGCGTTCCAAAACACCAACTTGCATTAGCACCCTGTCACCTGACTGTGGCACACCCGCCACGCGGCGCGTCTGGGTGTGATCACACGAGTGGGAGCAGCAGCAGCAGCAGGCAGCAGGACGAAGTGTTGATGGCATGCACCGTCCGAATTTAGCATTGGTGCCTCCCCACACTGGAGGGAGTGGAGCGAAGCGGTGTGGATCTGCCATCGCAGCCACTCTCACCGCCCCCCGTGGGGGGCAGGGGCTGGTGAGAGTGGGGTTGCCTCCCTGCACCACCCCGGCACATACCCCCCCCCCCCCGTGTCGATTTAATCTCAGGGCGCAACGCCGCCACTGTGCACACTACCCGCCCCCCGCCACCCTCGCCGTGCCAACCCTATTGTGGCTGCCAATGGTAACGACACAGAAATAACCCGCGCCGCGTTCTATTAATTATTGCATGGGGCAGACTTAAGCTTCATTAGGGTGGTACGATGGTGGAAATCCACTGGATTCGTAACCTTTAATTCGCTCTGTTCTCCCACGAGTATGAGTGGGTTCGCACGCATGTTGAACTTCTTTCACACCCTACGTAGCCAACCGTGCTAATCGAAAACGCCGGTTGAGTCGATAGGGAAAGGTCGCGTGCGTTGTGGGGCAAAGAAGTCTGGGTACTTCCAAGATGTGTGACCGGCGTGGAAGAGTAGGCCAAATATTCCCTCGAGAGAGAGAGAGAGGGTGGGGGCTCTCTACAGTTGCCTCGGGTGGATGCCCTTCCGCCAGCGGTGGCGCGAGCGAGACATTGCAGGGCTGCCCCTTCACCCGTTTAGGCCACGCGTCAAACGCCTCCAACTGCTGGCATATCCAGCGCTCTGCAATCACCACCATCATCAGCAGTAGAGCGCATCAGCGAGTGTCTATCTACTGCCGAATGAAAGCCTCCCTACGCTATTGTCATTCCTGGCAGTCCTGCAATGCCACGATACATCTTCACTGCTGCACGTAAATTGAGATCATCACCGCAATTTTGCAAACACAAATCAAATTAAACCCTCTTACACCCCCTGTAGCATTGTGGAATGCTGGGTCAAGTGCTGTTAGCGAGCACCTACTAAGACTGGCTCAATGCCCGATGGAATTGGCGTGGACTGCAACTACGGCCCATCTCGGTTGCCTTCTACTCGGTGCTGATGTCCACCGGCACACACCGGCTAGGGCACCTCCGTTGTTTCAGCTACCGCCGCCCGGGAGATGGAATTGGAAAACCTCCGGCCGGTTTGGAAGTCGAGTTGGGCCAAGCGCTACGCCGCGGCGGTGCCATCGGTGGCATTGGCGGCATCGGTGGCCACTCGCGGGGGCTCTTCATCGCAAGGCCCGCGGGTGGCCCCCGGTGGCCTTTTAGTGCGGCCCCCCCCCGACAATTACACAAATGTGAAAACACTCCCCCTACCCTCCCATCATTATCGTGCTGCCAAACCCCAATGGGTTTCAAATGCGTGGCGGCCCTCGCACTGATGATGTCTTATCGGCGAAAGTGCCACCCCGCCCCGCTCCACCCATCCACTGAAATCGAGTGAAGACCCACGGTAAGTGGTGTAGAACACGGTGAGTGATGTCCACCACTCGCCGTGTTCTTGGTAAACAAACAACAACAACACTTGAATGCGAAATTCGTTGGGGTTGCAACCCACAGGTGCCACTCCGCGTTGCCCTAAATAACAGTGGGATTATAAATACCTTGAAGGGGGAGACGCCGAGCGGCGGTCATCTCATTTGCGTCCCCCCCCCCCCCCCCCCCGTGTCTATTTTGGGAGTCGTTTAGACTCAGCTGGGACCACCACGGCGGGCGCAGCGGTGGGGGGTCCACTTACCCAGATGGTGCGCGCATCCCAAGTGTGGCCAACGGGGGCGCTCTTAACCCCAGAAGCAATCTTCGTAGGGCCCCCCCCCCCCGCACCCGTCCACCCCCCCCCCCCCCCGTCCGTGAGCCATTGTCCGTTGGTACCCAAAGCCACCTTTGTTTTAACGAGGTCTTTTTCGCTCCACATTACGGATTTTGTTAGATTATTAAGATTATTATTTAGATGATGATTTAAATTATTATCTCGAGTAGTATTTAGATTATTCAGACGATTATTTAGGTTTTTTTTAGATTAGTATTTAGATTATTATTTAAATTATTCAGATGATTATTTCGATTATTACGAAGTTTTTATTTATTCAGATTGTGATTGAGATTATTGTAGATTACTATTTTGATTATTATTTAGATTATTCAGATGACTATTTCGATTACCATGAAGATTTCTATTCAGGTTGTGATTTAGATTATTATGTAGATTACGATTTCTACATGATTATTATTTAGATTATTCAGATGCTTACTTAGATTATTATTTAGATTATTTCGCCGCTCTAAATTCCCACGTGGTGCGCCACTTTGCCACTTGTGGGCAGGTCGCTTTCGAGTTAGAAGTTAAAACCCCGGCGGGCTGTGGTTTAGTTGTATTAGTATGTTTTTGGGTGATTTGTTAACCTTGATTGTACTTTGCACTACTATCGCGTTTTGGTATCGTTTGTTGTTGTAACTTCCTTACCCTCCTCGACTGGACATCGGTGAAAAAGAGCATTATAGCTCATCAGATTCCTCCAGTATAAATAAATATTCTGATTCAATATGACGTCTCTAACTTGTGCACGTTATCTAATTTCCGTCTTGCTCTACCTGGCATCATCATCATTATCACCATATCACCATCAGCCATGATCAAGCCAATGATTCCCCAAAACCGTCACCACCTCTCACAGTCCTGTGATGTAAAAATCCATGGAGTAACTGCACGTGGTTCCGATATCATCGCTCCATCTCCGAGGTGGTAAATTCCAGGGCGTGTTCCCTGCTTTGGCTGCCACTCCGTGGTTAGTCACGGTGGCGAGATGTTAACGACCTCGCCATGTATACAGGAGGTCGTGGGTTCGAACCCGACCCTGACGCCTGCTGAATATTTGTAATTTGCGTGTCTCTCTCTCTCCTCTCGTGGTCTCGTGGATTTTCTCCGCGTCCTCCGGTTGGTCCCTCCACATTTAGAATCAACGCGCATTCAGAGTATTTGGCTGCTATAAATTTGCCACTTCATTGAAATATAATGTGTCCAGGTCGCTTCTGAAACAACAGCTATATTAGCGAGTGGGTCTTAGCTGGTTAAAAGTTCAGTTTGTAGTTTAGTTGAGTTTTTGCTCCCGCTGGTTTGAGCGGGCATGAGAGTGTGAATTCGTGGCCCGGGCCGTGTGAGTGTTTGTCTGTGTTGAGCCGTACCGCTCTGCAGGGCGGCGATGTGCTCCTTCTGTTGCTGTGAGAGCGCGGTGAGGGCCTGCATGTGCTGCACCGTGAGCTCCAGCACCACGGCCTTCTCCAGGTGTCCCAGCGTCTGCACAGGACCACGGTGCAAGAAGACAAGGATTTAGAGCCTATGGATTGGCATTGACAGCGAGCGCTTAAATGACTCGGCAACTCAAAGCAGCCTTACATCAACATCTCATCCCAACCACTGCAATGCCTGCTGCAGTCTAACCCAAGGGGACCTCCCCAGCGGCAGCTGTCCCTACGCGGTCATTGACCGGTTCAGATATCGCTCACCGCCGATGTTATTCGTGGCCCCGGGAATCGAACTCAGGTGGCCGGGTTTATATCGCAGTGCGCGCTAACCACCGCGCCACCGCTCCACCCAAGGTGTTAACAGCCACACCGCACGGTCTTGTGCGAGTGCTGTTTGTGTTTATGGCCCGGTATTGACTTGGGGGTTCCCGTTTTCACAACACAATACGACCGCGGCGGCTTCGAGCAGGGCAATAAGCCAACCCGTGGAGTCGCAAGCCCCCCCCGCCTCCACCACCTCTCTTGCGAAAAGCAGTTTATTTTGCAGAGTGGCACGTGTGAGAAAGGGTGGGGGAACAGCCTCCGAGTCGAACAATGGACCAAGGATCAATAACGCGAGCTCCACGTAGCCGCCTCGAGACCAACAACGCGACCAACACGCGGCACGCGCACGCTACTTGGGGATCGGTCCCACGTGCGTGCCACACGCCTGGCGCTGCTGTTTCGTGGGATTTCAATCGAGCCACCAAGAATCCAACAAGGCGTGGGAGTGAGCGAGCAGGCGGGCGGGTGGGCCGTGTTCGGACGTCTGCTGCTGCGACCCAACTTCTATTCCTGGCCGTTGCTGTGACTCACATCGGCAGCGAGTGATTTACCCAAATCTGTCCTGCCCCCCCCCCCCCTAACACCCCCCGCCGACCCAGCCCCCGATTTCGATGCGATACAAGTGTGTTGTTAGCATCAATAATCGAGTCATTTGACGTTCAGCATTGTCGCACCGTGCGCAGAAAGGCGACTGCTGCAGCCACCAAAAGCGAGAAACAAGACTTGATTGTTTAATCGACTCGCGACAATGCGTTGAATCGGTGGTGAATCATTAGACCTCTCTAACCTCTAGACTCGTGGGAGTAAACAATGCTGCATCGTCCGTCATTTCCTCCAAATATCCCGCAGAATAACAATAAAAAAATTAACAAGGAACCTGCACTCTGATATTTCGGAATTCCCCTAAATTGCCAGACTGCCTGCGCACACTCACTCCCTCCAGAGACAAAGATCCCCCGTGTAGCCTGAACAGACTGTTGGGGCAAGTGCTGTTAGCGAGCACCTATGAAGGCCGGAACGGTACACGAGGGGGTGGGTGGCAGGCACCACGCCCGATCACCTTTGTCTCCCCAGTGGCGATGTTTACACACCGCACCAGGTACTCATTTGAGGCCGAGTCGACCTAGGGGAGGCCCAGGACCGGTTCAGATAATCGTTACACCGGTGTTGGCCGTGAGCGGGAATCGAACTCGGGTCGCCAGTTTCGTAGCGCAGCGTAGCGCTGACCGCTGCACCACCGCTCCCCACACACCCACACACAAGAATCGCTGCCAAAGTTCTGAGAATTGCCTTTGGTTCCCAGCACCTGTGTAAACCCAAAACCCCCCAAAAGAATCTGACCGCAGACGCCAGAGGCCTGTTGACTCTGGGGCCACGTTTGCATGATAACGGATGCCCCGTGAGTTAGGTCACCCACACTGAAATGGCTGGCCGATCTCCGTTAGGATTACAAAGCCAGTGGGAATTCCACGTTCCTGTGGCAGGGAGCAGTCTGTCCAAGCGCTCTCTAGCACTAACCAAGTTGTGCAACCTCAACAATGTGTGACGCTCATTTTATCGACCCAGGAGGAACTGCCTGGGAAGGATTGTGATGGATGGTGATAGGTGATTATGGATGATTGATTGTTTGATTATGGTTGATAATGACAATGATGATAGAGGAGACATGAAGGAAAATAGATGATGATGACAATGATGCATGGCTACTGCCAATGATGATGATAATACTAATGTGTCGGTTAGTGAGATGATGATGTGTGATGATGGTCCATGATGGCAATGATGGATGATGGCTATAGCTGCTGCCACCGAGGTATTGATGATCGTGATGATGATGGATAATAATTCTAAATAATGGCTACGAGCAATGGGTGTTGCTGCTACTGCTGCCGATGATGTTTTTTTTCTTTATGATGGATGATGATTTATAGATACCAATGATTGTGGATGGACGAGAATGATGATTATGGCTGATCCTGCGGCTTTTAATTCGCTGCCGTTAAAGCAAATAACCTCCAGCCGCCCTTGGACTGATGCTTGCGAATCGCACCATGAGTTGACACACACACACTATGTGCCATATCATAAAGTCATAAATAGAAAGTCTTTATGAAATCATATTCCAAGTATACGCTTCGCAGTAAGTCGCTTCCCATGTAATTAACGCTCAGAGCTGGGACAACTGCCATCGGGTTGAAGTCAAAGATGTTTAGGTGTAAAAAAAAAAACCTTCCAGAGTAACACACTCGCAAAAGTTGGCCCTGACACACAAACACACACTGCATGATAACACAAAGGCGCATACACGCTAGCCAGGAGCGGCACACACACACACACAAGCCTGATAAACATGTACACACGCGCACGCGAAAGCTGGCTCTCACAAGCACATACATAAGCAAAATTAACAAAAAACACTCATCACATTCGTCTGGCTTACACAAATATATATGACCGTTCTTCACAGGAGAGTTTGTGGCTTCTCTGTGTGCTGTGAAGGGCCCATTGCATGTGCAGCCACTGCCAGAGAGAGGCAGCAGTGTCACCAAGTGTTTGCTTTCATACGTTAGCTAGCTGAGCACACAAAGACACGCACACGTTGTCACACCGAGCAGATCTTACACACAACGCAAGGCGCCGGGCTCACACGTGCAGAGGAGACACGCGCACGCTCACCCCACACAAAGACAAAGAAGATCTCCCCCCCCCCCACCACCGTGTAGCCTTAACAGAGCGTTGGGGCAAGTGCTGTTAGCGAGCACCCATGAAGGTTGGCACGGCATACGAGGGGGTGGGCGGTCATCACCACCCCACCAGGTACTCATTGTAGGCTGAATCGACCTAAGGGGAGGCCCGGCTCGGGTTCGAACTCGGGTTCGCCGGTTTCATAGTGCAGCACGCTATCCGCTACACTACCGCTCCCTATTCACACAAAGACACAAAGGCGAAGATCCCCCGTGTAGCCTTAACAGACCGTTGGGGCAAGTTGCTGCTAGCGAGCAGCACCGATGAAGGCCGGCACGGCACACGAGGGGGTGGGTGGCCAGCATCACGCCCGCGTGTGTCACAAAGACACACACGCACGCTCACACACGAAGTCAAAATACAACAGGTCCTCATTTGAATGCTGAGTCTACTCTACTCTCACATACACACACGCTCACCTCCCTGACACTTACTCTTCCACTCATCGCTCACAAACGGAAACATTCACTCAATCTCACACTCGTCCGCTCGCATAGAGAGTCTCCCCCACTCACTCACCCACCCATTCCCCCATCAACTCACTCACCCACCCACCCACCCATTCCCCCATCAACTCACTCACCCACCCACCCACTCACCCACCCACCCACTCTCCCACTCACCCAATTCCCCACTCACCAAATCCCCCACTCGCTCACCCACCCGCTCACCCACCCAATTCCCCACTCACCCACCTGCTCACCCACCCACCCACTCTCCCGCTCACCCACCCACCCATTCTCCCGCTCACCCATCCACCCCCCCACTCACTCACCCACCCAATCCCCCACTTACTCACTCACCCAACCACTCACCCACCCAACCACTCACCCACCCACTCTCCCACTCACCCACCCACCAATTTACTCGCTCACTCACCGCTAGCTTCAAGTTCTCTGGCAGCAGCTCCTTGAGCTGCACGATGCACTCATTGATCCGATCCCTCCGCTTCTTCTCGATCAATCTGTGCGGCAGCTTGTAGCCCTCCTGCACACACAACAGCGGAGTGATGTTAGCGAGCGCCTATCAAGGGCGGCGCAAAATGAAAAGACAACGACCTGTCTCCACATCGCTGATGTCTACACACGCATCGAACTGGGAACTCTTTTTAAGGCTGAGTCAACCTAGGGGCGGAGGTAGCCCGAGATTGGTTAAGATATCACTGGCCGTTGGTGTTAACCTGGAATCGAACTCAGGCGGGCCGAGTTTGTAGCGCAGTGCGCTAAACCACCGCGCCACCGCTCCCATTCCCGTCGCAGTCGTCTTCTACACACTTTTATTGAACTTGCCGTGTTGTCCGTTTCTATTCTTTCAAATCTTGATATCTTCGTATGTACGAAGCAAAACGAGCTGAAATTGTCAACACAGATTCCCCGTCTCGCGTGACAATTGAAGATTTCATAATAGAAAAATAAACCTGTCCAGGTCCCGCCGATCCTGAACCTAGTCGTGGTTTTGTTTTTACTTAATTTCTTTCTTCTGCATTCAAACGCCAAAGAAAAAGCCCTAGTTGTGTCTGGACCCCAGTATGAGTTTACATTTCCATCTCAAATCGAGCAGAACACAGCCACCTGCTTATGGGGGGTGGGTGGTGGCACAGTTGTCAACAACAACAACAACCAACACAGCAAAGGAGAAAATGAAACACACGGCATAATGATATCTCATAAATGGGATACATATTCATGAGCGCATATTCATTTCATCGGGGAGTTGAGCAGAGCAGTGGACCGATCAGTGGCGCCCGGCGTGCCTCTTGTGCACTCCGTTCTGAAGCAGACCGCCCCAGTTTGATTCCCGGACACGGCAACACATTACTGGAGACTGGCGAGACGAGATTTCTGAAACGGTTTTGGCATCTCCCCCCCACCCCACTCCCTACAAAGACAAAGATCCCCCATAAAGTCTTAACAGACTGTAGGGGCAAGTGCTGTTAGCAAGCACCTATGAAGGCCAGAACGGCACACGAGGGGGTGGGTGGCCAGCACCACGCCCGACCGCCTTTGTCTCCCTAGTCGCGATGTTTACACACCGCACCAGGTACTCATTTGAGGCTGAGTCGACCTAGGGGAGGCTCGGGACCGGTTCAGATAATCGTCACTGGTGTTGGCCGTGAGTGAGAATCGAACCCGTGTCGCCGGGTTCATAGCGCAGCGCGCTAACCGCTACCTACAAGCACACCTTCACCAACCCGCACTGAGCAGCGTGGTGAAGTATGGTCATACAACCCAGCCCCCCCGCCCCCCCATGACCGGACTTCGTCCAGCAGTCGAGTGACAATGAGCTGTAACTTCAAAAAGGGGAATATCGAATACGTTGAAAATGACTGATGTACATTCAAAAAAATGTTCAAGTGCCCAAATGGTGCACAGATTTAGCGAACGACTCCACCGCTCCTGATTGTTATTAATACCTATGACTTTGTGTGCATAACTCTGAAAATCCTAAAACTAACATTTTCCAATGTAGCCCCCCCCCCAAAGATTAGGGTTATGACGTGCATTGGTTTTACTCAAAGGGCATGCTCAGGACAAAGTTCTACATTGCTTAAAAAAAAAACCTCGCGCTTAAAATGAACACACAAACTATCCAAATCATCAGTGAACAGAGTTATTCGCCTCCCGTGTTTGGCGCAATGCTGAAGCCGAGTTTTGTTGTTGTACCAAACAAAAGCCCGCTTTCGGGTTACCGGTACAGTCTATTATGTGGACTGTGACACACCTTGCTATCTTCCCTCTTAATGCTTCGCCTCGATCGTGCGCCGTACATGAACGCCTGATAATCCATCCTGTCGGACATGAGAGATACACAGACGGTCACACACAAGGCAAAGGCCCCCCGTATAGCCTTCACGTATTTTTTGGAGCAAGTGATGTTAGCGAGCACCGATGAAGACCGGCACGGGACACGACGGGGTGACCAGCACCACGCCCGCCCGCCTTTGTATCCCCAGTGCCAATTCTCACACATTGCACCAGGCACTCATTTGAGGCCGAGTCGACCTAGAGGGGAAGGCCGGTCGGACAGGTTCAGATAATTGTCAATCGGTGTCGGCCGTGAGCAGGAATCGATTTCGGGTCGCCGGGTTCGTAGCACAGTTGGCTACGTACGGTGCGAAAGAAGTTCAACATAAGTACAAAGCGCATTGCCCTAACCACTAGACTAGCGATTCCCGGTCTCCACGCACACAGACACGCACGCACATATAGACACACCGCCATACACACAGATCGACACACACAGCAGACAGACACCCACGCAGACAGAATCACAATCTTTATTTATACTGGAGGAATCCGATGAGCTATGAAGCTTTTTTATCACATATGTCCAGTAAACACACACACAGACGCAATAACACACCGGCACACGAGACACGCGCAGAGACACACGATGAAACACAGACACACACACAAGAACACACAGAGACACGGAGATATTTCGACACACACACACGCGAATATCACTTTACATTATGGGCACCAATCGCACCCACATCAAGGTGTGCGTTCGCATCGACAGGTGGAGTTGTGTGGCACAGCGGCACGCAGACTCACCCTCCTCCTCCTTGCAGAGATCCATCGCCCATCACGGAGAACCGCGACTCGGAGTTGACAAACGAAGTCTCCATTGTGTTCGTCCTTCACAGCCAGAACTAAAACTCTGCAACTGCTTATGGACGCGGCGTCGAGTACGGAACGTGCTGAAATTTAGATCGTGCGAGCTGACATATCTCTCCACGCGCTAGCGACTGGCAAGGTAACTCGGCAGGCGGGGGGGGGGGGCAGGCAGGTATATGGGCTGGTAGGTGGGCAGGAATGTAAGCAAGGCAGGCAGGTAACGCGATGCGAGTGTGTAGGTGAGGGTCTCCGTTATCCAGTCGGCTGCGCGCGCTGCACTCCCGAGGAAGATTTTTCGCTTCTGCAGTTTTGCTCCGTGCGTGGCTACTGGCACCAACTCGCTCGCACGCACGCACGCGCGGATACACCCACACACACATACACGGACGCACGTACACACACACACAGACGAAACGAGCACGCGCGCACGCACGCGCGCCGCGCAGACAACGCCCCGGCACCGACGCGACGTCACCCGGGCGCGCACGCTAGAGTTCACGTGCGGCCGGGGGAGGAGGGAGGGAGGAGGGAGGGAGGGATGGGGGGGGGTGGCAGGGGGGGTGGAGGATGTGGGGTGGGGGGCTAAGGGGTTTTGAGCGGTGGGAGGGAGAGGAGGGAGGGGTGAGAGGAGGGCGATCGGGGATGAGGGGGGGGGGCGCCCGTGAGCTGTGCCGCCTGAACACGAAGTGAGTCCCTGTGGCGGGGAACGTGTGGGAGGTAGTGGGGAGGCGGTGATGGTGGTGATGATGATGGTGGTGGTGGGGGGGTCTTGACAGAGAGAGGGAAGGACAACAGTGAGAAGTGGAGACGCGCAGAGATATTACAGAGAGGACCACGCGGAGACGCAGGGAGGGGGCCACTGGGGGGGGGGGGGAACAGACGAGGACACACCGGGACACGGAGCTAGACGGACAGAGATGTAGAGCGATATAGATAGAGATAGATAGAGAGATCGAGAGAGAGAAATCGAGAGGCGTAAACACACGGAGAGAGTCGCACGTGCACAGGGAGAGTGGCGCAGCAGAACAAACATACGAAGAGAGACGAACAGACGCGGCGCAGAGACCCGGAGAGAGACACCGCGGACAGAGAGGCAGAGTTGCGGTGGCCCTGAGGACATGACGGGGGGGGGGGCGGGGCGGGCGGGGGGGTCTAGTCGTGCAGAGGAAGCTCTGCTGCACGGTAGGAGCAGAGAGGAAGATTTCAGGAATTCGGCTCGGGTGGAGGAGGAGGAGGGGGGACGCGAGGATGGACGCTTCTGGGTGTGCGATCCCTTGCGCCCATCATACAGGATGGTCCAGATGTCTCGTGACCCCCCCCCCCCAATTGACGTCAAACATTGCTTTCCTTTGCATATAATTGAACGTTTGAGATCATTAGATGGGGGTCACGAGACATCTGGACCACACTGTAGATATCACCCCGCGGCTAGAGTAGGTGGGTGACTGCGTCCCACATGAACGGCACGGAAAACTCTCTCTCTCCTTTAACACGCACTGACCGGCGTGGTGAAGTATGGTCAAACAACCATCATGACCGGCACGGCGTGGGGGGAGGCCTTCATCCAGTAGCGGATTAAAAAAAGGAGCTGTCAGTGATTTATACTTGAACTAGGCTGGCAACGGGTGGGTGGTGTTGGGTGGTGATGGGGGTTAGGTGTGGTTGGGTGGTTTTGTGGGTGGTTTGGTGGGTGGTGTTGGTTGGTGTTGGGTGGTGATGGGTGGTTGGGTGATGGGGTGATGTTGGGTGGTGTTGGGTGATGTTGGGTGGTGGGGTGATGGTTGGGTGGTGTTGGTGATGGGTGGTTGGGTGGGTGTTGGGTGGTGGGGTGGTGATGGGTGATGTTGGGTGGTTGGGTGGTGGGGTGGTGTGGTGGTGATGGGTGGTTGGGTGTTGATGGGTGGTGATGGGTGGTGTGGTGGTGTTTCCCGATTCTCCAGTCTTAAGCGTTACGCTCCGAACTCCAAAATATTACACGACTCATTGGAGTATTAATAGGTGCTCGCTAACAGCGCTCGCTCCAGCAGTTGTCCACGTTAAACTGGAGTACATCTGTAACAAAATACGTACCATTGCTGTGTACAATACGCGTAGACGACCGTGGCTCAGTGACGGATGTAAATTATGATGATATAATATTTGTAGTCGAGTCGACGATAAAACGTAGAAAATAACTTAATTTGGGCCCCCAAAAGTAATTATATATTTTTTTTCACGAGGCAGGCTTAACTTAAAGTTCTGCAAGTCTCGCGACAAACTCGTGTTTACAGAAGAACGATTCCCACCATCACTGAAACAAGAACATCGACTGCACTCCGATTTCCAAGCAGTGTGTATAAAGATAAAGACAAAGTCTCTCCCCCCTCCCGCCACAATAGCCTTAACAGACGTTTTGGGGCAAGTGCTGTTCGCGAGCACCTACGATGGCCAGCACCACGCCCGGCCGCTTTTGTCTCCCGCACCAGGTACTCATTTGAGGCGTAGTCGACCTAGGGGAGCCCCATGACCGGTTCAGATAATCGTCACTGGTGTTGGCCGTGAGCGGAAATCGAACTCGGGTCACCGGGTTCGTAGCGCGAACCGCACGACATACATACACATTTATCAATTAACATCCCCATGTATCAAGACTGGGAAAATGTTGTGTCATCGTGCCCCTATTAAGGTCGGGAATGGCACGGACGAGAGCGATGTGGTCAGAACCACGGCCGACCGCCTTTGTCTCTCTCGTAGCGATGTCTGCACCTCGCACCGGGCTACTCTCACGCAAGTCCCGAGTCGCCCTCGGGGACGCCCAGGCCACCGGTTCAAATAAATCGCCACTGACGTTCGCCGTGGCCCGCGGTCATGGAACTCAGGTGGGCCGGTTTCGTAACTCGGTGCGCAAATCACCGCTCCGCACTTACTATACACACACACATGCCCACGCACACACAAACAACACTGACATGCACCGACTGAGCTATGCCGTGTGTGTGGGGAGGGGTGGGGGGTAAGGGCGACTCAACACTACTGCTGGATGTTTATTCTCGCTCGGGAGGTTGGGTGGTGGTGTATGGGGGTGGAGGGGTGGAGGGGTGGAGGGGTGGCCGAGGCACGCACGCACGTGCGTGTGCGAGTCCTAATCTCCCCTTCTCTCTTCTCGCAGCAGCAGCAGGATCATGCTCAGGGCACGTATGTTTACGCGCCCCTCCGGGTCCAGAAAAAGCGCAGCCGAGTCGCCTTTCCCCTCCACCCCCCCCCGTCTTCATCCATCCACCCCCTTACACACCCCTCCCCCCATCCTACCCAGCATCACCACTCCTCTACCCCAGCAATAACCCCACGCTACCCCCAACGCCGTCCTCAGAGCCCCCCCCCCCTCGCGCACCCAGCCCTCACCCCCTCCCCTCCCCACAAGCCCCCGTGGGGTTTTCTCCTTCCCCCCCTCCCCCGCCTCCCCCCGCCTCCCCCCCCTCCTCCCCCACGGCGCTGCGCTGCCTACCGTGGTGGTGTCCGAGCCAAGGAGGCGGCGCGCCACGCAACCCACCCACGCGCTGCGCGCGTGCGCGTGGCCCCAATGCGGTGCTCGCACGCATTGGGGCAAAGCGATAGACGGAGATGGAGACTGGTCCGGTAGACAGATAGACAGACAGATAGACAGATAGACAGACAGACAGATAGACAGACAGACAGATAGACAGATAGACAGATAGACAGACAGGCAGACAGGCAGACAGGCAGACAGGCAGACAGACAGACAGACAGACAGACAGACAGACAGATAGACAGACAGAGACAGACAGACAGGCAGGCAGACAGGCAGCCAGACAGACAGACAGACAGAGACAGACAGACAGGCAGGCAGACAGGCAGCCAGACAGACAGGCAGACAGAGACAGACAGACAGGCAGACAGAGACAGACAGACAGACAGGCAGGCAGACAGACAGACAGACAGGCAGACAGAGACAGACAGACAGGCAGGCAGGCAGACAGGCAGCCAGACAGACAGACAGGCAGGCAGACAGACAGGCAGGCAGACAGACAAACAGGCAGGCAGCCAGACAGACAGACAGCCGGACGTACGGTAAGATAGGCTGCCTGATAGATGGACAGGCCGGATTTGGCTGATGGATCGTCAGGCTGGCTGGCGGGATACCACACCGACACGCAGATAGGCTGGCCGACAGAGACGATCGTGTTGACAGATCAGATCGAGAAGCATACAGGCAGGCAGGGAGACAGGCAGGCAGACACAGAGAGGGTAACACAATGGTTAGACGAAGAGATACATAGACACACATACATAGCGTAGACAAGGTGAGGCAGGACACACATTGCGGGTCCGTGAGATATATCTGGCATACTTCACCGCGCTGGTCAGTACGGGTTGGTGAAGGTGATGGTGGGGGGGGGGGGCAGAATAAACACCTATTTATAGCCCACTGGGACAAGGGCTGTTAGCGAGCACCTATTAAAAGGCGAACACACACGAGAGGGTTCCGTGCCGGGGGAGGGCTGGGTGGTGGATGGCTATGTTTTGCCCGGCCACACCACCGGCAGAGGTGGCTAATTTTAGGCCGAGTTTACCCAAGGGAGGGACAGTACAAGTTGAGGTGCCAATTTCTTCTTGCGCGCGCGCACACACAGGCGCGCACACACACAGGCGCGCACACGCAGACACACACACACAGGCGCGCACACACAGACACACACACACACAGGCGCGCACACACAGACACGCACACACACAGGCGCGCGTGCGCGCACACAACAGCTCCCAGTTGCCCACAAGTGACGTAACCCAGAGCGTCGGTGCCAGGCTAAGTGAACGTTGACGCAAAGTCGCACCTGCATGCAAAGACAAAGATCCCCCTAAATACAGACGTGATATTAGGGCAAAGTGCTGTTATAGGGAGCACATATTAAGGCCGGCACGGCACACGTGGGGGTGGGTGGCCAGCACCACACTCCCGGCCGCCTTTGTCTCCCCAGTGACGATGTGTGTAGCTAACCGCTACACCGCCGCTACCCCCTCGACAGACACACGCACACACAGTCATGTACACACACGCGTAACCCGAGTCCACACACACACGCGTGTCTGTGCACGTGTCGGACACGTGCACACACACGCGTTCTGAAACACAGACAAAGATAAAGCCACCCCGTATAGCCTTCACAAACTGTTTGGGCGAGGGCTGTTAGAGAAAACCCGTGAAAGTGCAAGACGGCACACGAGGGGTGGTTGTGGGTCGCACCCCTCCCAGGCCGCCTTTGTCTCCCCCAGTGGTGATGTTCACACACCACACCGGGTTCGGTACTCATTGAAGGCTGTGTAGACCCGTGAGCGGAATTCGACCTCGCGGTGCGCTCACCACTACACCACCGCTCCCCACTCACACAGTCAGGTACACACACACACAACCACACGGGTAAGGGATATGTGGACAAAGAAGACAAAGATCCTCCGAATAACCTCAACAGATTAAGGCACATACGAAGGCAGGCACGGCACACGAG